CAAGGTGAGGAGAGGGGAGGACGCGAGGTGAGGAGAGAGGAGGACGCGAGGTGAGGAGAGAGGAGGACGCGAGGTACAGGAAAGAGGTGCACGCATGGTGTGGAGAGAGGAGCACGTGAGGGGAGGCGAGAGGAGCACGCTAGGGATGGTGAGAGGAGGACGCGCGGGGAGGCAAGAGGAGCGCGTGCGGGGGGGCGATAGGATGCCGCGCGAGTGGCGAGAAGAGCGCACGCGGGAGGCGATAGGATCTCGCGCGGGCTTACCAGGCAGGTGCGCGCGCTGGGAGGAGAAACGTGTGCGTGTGCACGGGATTCCCGAGTGAGGAAACGTGGGCGCCCCTGTCAGGATAGTGGGAAGTGGTAGGGACCCGCATACGTCGAAAGTGGGTGGTAGCGGAGCCATTTCACGAAGCGTCGCAAGGAGACGGTCCCTCCCTTTAATCCAGTATGGTCGCATGTATTGTGAGGAGAGAGGCGCACGCAAGGTGAGGAGAGAGGAGCACGCAAGGTGAGGAGAGAGGAGGCCTCAAGGTGAGGAGAGAGGAGCACGCAAGGTGAGGATAGAGGAGCACGCAAGGTGAGGATAGAGGAGCACGCAAGGTGAGGATAGAGGAGCACGCAAGGTGAGGAGAGGGGAGCACGCAAGGTGAGGAGAGGGGAGCACGCAAGGTGAGGAGAGGGGAGAACGCAAGGTGAGGAGAAGGGAGCACGCAAGGTGAGGAGAGGGGAGCACGCAAGGTGAGGAGAGGGGAGCACGCAAGGTGAGGAGAGGGGAGCACGCAAGGTGAGGAGAGGGGTGCACGCAAGGTGAGGAGAGGGAGCACGCAAGGTGAGGAGAGGGGAGCACGCAAGGTGAGGAGAGGGGAGCACGCAAGGTGAGGAGAGGGGAGCACGCAAGGTGAGGAGAGGGGAGCACGCAAGGTGAGGAGAGGGAGCACGCAAGGTGAGGAGAGGGGAGCACGCAAGGTGAGGAGAGGGAGAACGCAAGGTGAGGAGAGGGAGCACGCAAGGTGAGAAGAGGGGAGCACGCAAGGTGAGGAGAAGGGAGCACGCAAGGTGAGGAGAGGGGAGCACGCAAGGTGAGGAGAGGGGAGCACGCAAGGTGAGGAGAGGGGAGCACGCAAGGTGAGGAGAGGGGAGCACGCAAGGTGAGGAGAGGGAGCACGCAAGGTGAGGAGAGGGGAGCACGCAAGGTGAGGAGAGGGGAGCCCACGCAGGGTGAGGAGAGGGGAGCACGCAAGGTGAGGAGAGGGAGCACGCAAGGTGAGGAGAGGGGAGCACGCAAGGTGAGGAGAGGGGAGCACGCAAGGTGAGGAGAGGGGAGCACGCAAGGTGAGGAGAGGGGAGCACGCAAGGTGAGGAGAGGGGAGCCCACGCAGGGTGAGGAGAGGGGAGCACGCAAGGTGAGGAGAGGGAGCACGCAAGGTGAGGAGAGGGGAGCACGCAAGGTGAGGAGAGGGGAGCCCACGCAGGGTGAGGAGAGAGGGGCACGCGCAAGGTTGGCGATCGAAGAGCATTGGAGGTGAGGAGAGAGGGGCACGCGCGGGGAGGCGAGAGGAGCACGCAGGGTGAGGAGTGAGGAGCACGCGCGGGGAGGCGAGGGAGGCATGCAAGGTGAAGAGAGAGGAGAACGAGTAGGTGAGGAGAGAGGAGCACGCGCGGGGAGGCTTGAGGGGCGCGCGAGGGGAGGCGAGAGGAGAACGAGTAGGTGAGGAGAGAGGAGCACGCGCGGGGGGGCTTGAGGGGCGCGCGAGGGGAGGCGAGAGGAGAACGAGTAGGTGAGGAGAGAGGAGCACGCGCGGGGAGGCTTGAGGGGCGCGCGAGGGGAGGCGAGAGGAGAACGAGTAGGTGAGAAGAGAGGAGCACGCGCGGGGAGGCGAGAGGGGCGCGCGAGGGATGGCGGGAGGAGGCTGCGCGGGGAGGCGAGAGGCGGCCGCGCGGGGAGGCAAGAGATTCGCGAGCATTGAAGGCGAGAGGAGCACGCGAGGGGAGGCGAGAGGAGCACGCGCGGGATGGTGAGAGGAGGCCGAGCGGGGCGGTAAGAGGAGCGCGCGCTGGGATGCGATGGGATACCGCGCGGAAGGCGAGAAGAGCGCGCGCGGGGTGGCGAGAGGTTCCCGCGCGGGCTTACCGGAACGGTGCGCGCGCAGGGAGGAGAAACGTGGGCTTGAGAAACGGGCTTCCCGCGCGTGGAATCGTGGGCCTGACTGTCAGGATAGCGGGGCGTTGTGGGGACACGACGACGCTGAAAGTGGGTGGTCTGCCTCCAGCACCTCTGTCGCCCCTTTCTTCAGGTCCAGCCATCGTCGTAGCTGCTCCATGGGGCTCTAATACCACGTGTTATAGTCACAGTAGGCTCAAATGTGCCTAAAACGAAAGATATAGGGGTAAGGACGATGGGAGGGCAATGGCGACGGGGACCACGGGGGAAACGAGGGTGACGGTGCGTCAAGGGGGAGGCCGATGTGAGGGGATTTCCTCCCTACGCCTCTTGATCCTGTTTAGCGCGACGTCTCGTAATATGGGATTCGAGCATTTTACGCTTGTGACGAGCGCATTCCTAAATTTCGTGTTGCATCGGGGTTGAAGGTGGGAATGTGCTAGGGGCAAAAGCTTAGAGTCTCGCTTAGTAGCCGCACAGGCATTCCTGAATTACCATTTCTAGGCAAACTGTGCACAGGCAGTTCCCTTCTTCCTTCAGCAGGGGTGGTTGGAACTCTCGCCAAGTTGAAGCGTTCTGCTCTACGACGCGGTCTTTGTGGGGTGCGACGTTTTCTGGTAACCCCACTGGCTCGGGAGGTGTTCATTGGGCTCGGAAGGCAAACTGTGCACAGTTTGCCCTTTTTGATTTGTAATTCAGGTCTTGGGCTTTAAGCAGCTTAAGCTTCTGTCGCTTTGGCACACACGTGTGGGCACGTGTCGCTGGGTGCTTCCCCCCTGCTTCAGTAAATTTCCCAGCTCACAGGGGTGATCGGCACGCCCCCGAAACTGGGCTTAGGGAAGTTGCGCGGGTCGTGAGCGCGATTTCCTTCGAATCACGGTTGCTTTCGGCCCAGACTGCCCCCTTCGTCACCAAGAAAATGTTTTCTCAAAAAAGGGGAACCTGGGCCATAAAATGACTCGAGTCAGAACCATTTCTTGAATCCCTCACAACGCGAGTTGTGAAGGTGTTTTAGGGGGTTAACGTTGGCATGTGGAAGAAAATTTTGCGGTTTTGTTGGGTTTACCCTTCGCGGGCTTACTCCGAGTAAGCGAGGCTTACTCTCCCAACAAGCCAGAGTTAGTGGAGTTCCGCCGCGTAACTCAGTTTGCCCGTAAATGAACCTTCCTGTATGGCCACTTCGAGACGTACTCCGAGTAAGGTGTTGGGGCGATCGTTTGCCCCTTCTGAGTTACTCGGAGTAAGACACGTCGGATTGAGTAAACTTCCGTCACACGTGCAAAGCCGGAGTTTGTAAACTGCGTCGAAGCTCACTTACCCCGCATAAGGGTGCTACCGATCAGGGCCCTTGGGTTTGGGTTGGGAAACTTCGCGAGGTGTTGATGACATGCGGATGGGGTGAAGGAAGTGGGACCACCTCGAACTTCGTGATTGGTTCGTCAAATTTGGTCTGCGCTGGTTCCGCGGCGAACACGCGGGTTTTGGCAGGTTTTGCAGAACAGAGGGCGCGCGGAGCGCTGCGCACGGCACTGCGCGAAGCGGAGAAATATACCACTACATACATTCCCGTTGCTTTTCCAGTTGGTCATGACAGAGAAGGGAAAGCACACATTTGCATGATGGTGTTGTTTTCACCCCATCGTTTCCCCCCATCTCCACGCCCGCCCCCCACCACCCAAAGCGTTTGCGTTCTACCAGTGGGAATGGCAGTTTTCCTAAGCACAACCCTCAACAACAGCGCCGAATCTCTCTTGCGACTGCGAATATAGCTCCATAGCGAAAGCAGGTGACCATGAGCTTTCCCAATGATTGGCCTCGTCGCACATGCGATTGGTTTGCGAGGAACCCAACATGCGCCGGTCGCACAGTAGCACAGTCGCACACCAGTTCCATGGTTCATGCATCTATCATCCAGCTCAGTCTCTAGGCGCAAACGACGCTGATTTGGTCCAGTGGGAGCAAAATCGTGATTCGGGAGGTCGCACACCAAATCCCAAACCCCAAGAGAGCTATCACCAAGTACTGTATTAAAACTCCATATATATACCCAGAAAACGCACCAACCGCATTCCAAGCCAGCTCAAATAGTTTTTTGTCAGATACACACAAATGACTATCCCAAGCCTAGGCCCTAGTCTTCCCAACTTTTCTCCTTCAGCAGCACCAGTCTCCTGCCAGAAGCGCAGCAGCCTAGATTCCTCCCCATTCGACACAACACACGAAACTCACATGCGACTCGGAAGGCATCACCCACAGGCGAACACGTGCAACCAACCGACCTACGGAAACCTGGAGGATGGAATTGTGCAGCACACCCAAGTTGTGCACATCCAGGTACGTTCCACCGCATTCAAACCATTTGCTTCACTTCACGAACAAACCTGGCCTTTTCGCCACTTCTTGATGCTGGATTCCCTCGGACTTGGAGATAACTGTACCTTACATCTTAGTTGCGGGCTTCCTTTACCTATTTTTCCTAAGACTTACTCTACAAGTAATAGCTCCTGTAAGGGTAATTTATTGAACAATCGCGTTATATAGTTGTATTATAACGGACTTACAGCTGCGGAGGGTACGCACCATTTTGACTTCAGACATCGCCAGTTATTATATTCGTTCAGTGAAACCCCATTGTTGGATCTCGTCCGACTGCCAGTAGCAGCAAGCAATTTCCCTAGAGGTGCCGCGTCCTTACTGTACAATTATGCTTGATACATGGAAGCATACATGCAAACTAGCTGTAGCACTTACAAGTGCTGACTAGTTGGCTTGAATGACATGGTGTGGTGGGCATGTTCTGCCATGGCGGTATCCTTAAGCCCTAACACACAATGCCCATGTCAGACACATGCTCCATTGCCTGCTTGCCCCTTCCACCTCAAATCCGGGCGGCACACTGGCGCAAACGAGCACCAGAAGCATTTCCAAGCCTCTTCACGAGGCACGATGAAGGGTCGGCGGCGCCCGAGCCAGAACTCGAGGCTTGTGGAGATGCTAGCTTGCAGCCAGTGGGGATCATAGGGGAAGTGGTCCTCGTGAATAAGTGAACCATCAGCCTGCCACTCATACCTGCAAGCAGGCAGCACCATGACAAACAGCAACTCAAACAACTCAGAGGAGCATGTTTTGAAAGCGCATGTGTAAGAGGAGACTGTGAGTGTGACTGTCGTGCAGACATGCATGGCATTGCAAGGAAACCATATGCTAGGAATTGACGTGACAAGGCTACCATACTATCTGCGTACCGTAGCAGCAAGGTGGAGTGCATCGGCTGCAGCGACTGGAAGGCGTGAGAGACTGCAGCCGTGACGTCAGCAAGACAGGCGATCTGATAATGGGGCACAGGAGAGCAGACACAAGACGCACAGAGGCTGCTGGCAGGGGCAAACAACACCACACCTTCCGTACCCTCACACCTCCCTAACATCTCACCTCCCCAAAATCTCGCCTTAACCTAATCTCACCTGCCCATAATCACACCTTTCTCTGAGGAAAGAGCTCTGCAGCATGCTCGAGCACTTGCGGGGAGAGGGCGGTGTGGGGTTGGAGGCGGAAGGAGGAGAAGAAGGGCTGCTGAGGCAGTCTGTGCTGAATCATGCCACTGAGTAGCGCGCTGTAGCACATCAGCTGCAGCCTGCGGTGTAGAGCAGGGAATGGGAGAGGGCCGCGTGGGGGTGCAGGCGGACGGAGGAGAAAAATCGCTCCTGAGGCACGCCGTGCTGAATCATGCTGACAGCAGCGCATGAGCTGCAGCCCGCACCGGCGGAGAGAACGGGGGCAGGAGAGAGAGGGGATTTGTGCCAGGAGCAAGGAAGGAAATCTAGGGAATGGGGAGCATGTGGGCGAGGAATAAGGTCCATCTGCCTTCTTCCCCCTCCTGCATACAAGCCCACCTGCTGTTCGTGCTCTGCACTGCTCTCGGTGCCCGGGGCCGCACACGAGTCTTGGTGTCTACCACCATCACACGCCACGGTGCCACCCGCCCCAGTGCTATCTCCCTGTGCTCTCCCCCTGTGCTCTCTCCCTGTGCATGCGAACCATCACACGCAGCCACCCGTGCATACAGCCCACCTGGAATTCCTGCTCTGGGCAGTCCTGGGGGGTCGGGGACGCACACGAGTCTTGGTGTCCACCACCATCACACGCCACCCGCTCCCGCCCTCCCCCACTACTCCCTCCGCTCCTCCCTCCACGCCTCCCTCCCCGCCTCCCTCGCCGCCTCCCCCACCGCATCCCTCTGCGCCTCCCTTGCTCCCCCCGTCCCTGCCAGGGCGTGTAGAGGAATCGAGTTGCGATGCAATCTGCATGAACACATCGGACTGTTGGGAGTTGAACACATCGGATGACTGAGAGTTGATCGCCTGTGAATCAGAACGACACCCCATTGAGTGTTCTGAAATCATCGGTTGTGAATCCAACGGCTGTGATTCCAAAGGATGTGGATCTAACAGCTGCGAGCCCAACGGCTGTGAATCTAATGGCCGTGATCCACCTGTTGCTCTCTCCTCCTTGCTCTTCTGCATGTGCTCTCCCTCGGATCCCATGCACCCAGATTTCCTTTTCACTGGACTTGTATGGCTCGGTTTGCCCCTTTGACCTGCCTGTCCTGTCTGACTAGCTGTCTGTCCTGTTTGTCCTGTTTGACCTGTCTGACTAGCTGTCCGCCCTGTTTCGCCTGTCGGACTAGTTTGACTGCCGGCGCTGCAGCTTTCCATCCTTGCACTCCCCTCTCTGTCTTCTGCTGCAGCAGCACCAGCAGCACCAGCGCACACGAGTCGCAGCTCATCAATCACGCCCACCACCCACACATCATGCACCCTGCCCAACCTGAACACGGAGAAAATCGACGGTAAAAAATACGAAATGCGCTTGTCGATTGGGTAATCAAACAGCAACAGCAACAGCAGCAGCAGCAGCAGCAGCAGCAGCAGCAGCAGCAGCAGCAGCAGCAGCAGCAGCAGCAGCAGCAGCAGCAGCAGCAGCAGCAGCAGCAGCAGCAGCAGCAGCAGCAGCAGCAGCAGCAGGAGGGGGAGGAGGCACGAGGTGATAAAACAACAGGCAGTGGGCAAGGGCCAGGGCAGGAGACACTCACACAAAGACTTCTCGTGTTATGCCCCTGCCAGCAGCATCACCACAGAGCCCCGCTCCTCCATTCTCCCTCCCCATGGCACCCCCCATCGCCTCCCTCATACCCTCCCCCAGGGCGAGCACTCTAGCAGCGGCCCCCAGCAGCCTGAGCGCCCACACGTCCTCCCTGGTTTCCACCGCCACCTCTATTGTCTCCACCACCTCCCGCTCCAACGCTGCATGCCTCTCCGCGCCCGCCCTCATCGCTGCTGTTGGCGGGGGCTTGCCGCGGGCGAGAGAGAAGACGACCCGCTGCTCACACCACTCCTGTGAGCAGGGAGTGATGGGCGAATGGGTGAGTGGGAAGGTGAGCGAGAGGGTGAACGGAGGGAAAGAGAAACGAGGTGGGCTTTGGGACGTGTCTAGAAAGAGAAGGGACGGGTGGTGAGGCATGTCAATCATGGGGCGCTCGTGCTTGATGAGTTGGTCAAGGGATGTAAGCCAAGAGACAGATGAGGAGCAAAAATCTGTAAAAGAACAAGATTTTCTAATCATTGCAGTCTGAATTCAGAGTTGGGGCTAAGGAGGAAAAGAACAGGACGGGATGGAAGAGCCACGTGGCGCATGTGCAAGTACCGCGTCTGTAATATCCGTCACAGACAGCCGCTGATTCCGCTTGCAATCCAACGGCCGCCGTGCCACGTGCCTTGCCCGAACCTCCAGCGCCCCTTCTCTAGCTTCTCGCGCCTCTCCTTTCGTTCTCCTCTCCTCTGAACCCGTTCCCCGAGCCTCTGTACTCATTCCCCTAGCCTCCATTCGTTGCCCGCGCTCCCCCTCACACCCATCAGCGCCTCCAGCAATGCCACGTGTCCATTCCGCTGGCAGCGCATCGCGACTCGCCACGTCCTCAATGTCCGGAAAAAGGGACCTCCTTGTCACAGGCTCCGCCATTTGAGGAACCTGAAAAGGCGCCTTGGGATCTCGAGGCGCCTCAAAAAGCGTCTCTGGTCGCATCCATGCGTGAAGCGACTTCTGAGTCGACTCTAGAGCTACCTGCCGCCGCGACGCCGTTACTGCGCTGCTTTCCGCAGACTCAATCCTGTCCCCGCGTCCCCGCGCATTGTTCCTCTCGCGCGCGGATTCCTTCACTGCCTCCGCCGTCCCGTCCACCCGCGGATGTACCGCCACTACCCCCGCGGAACTACCCGCTCGCGCAGCTTTCCGCGCAGCCGCTTCCCGCTCCGCGGCCGCCACTGCCGCTTCTAGGAGCGCGAACTCTTCGTCGGGTAGGAGAAGCTTTTCATGAAAATACTCGACGTTTTCCATGCCGCCCGCGACGGTCGAAACAATGTCCTGCTGGTTTGCAAACATGCCGTGTCCCTCTTGTCCTCGCTAATAGCACAAGAAGCTCCTTGAATCGCTAAAAGAGGCTGTAACTGAATTCGTAAAATTCCTTGCTCCCGTCGCGAAAAGCTGCCAGTCTCGCGCTAACGAGGCTCCCTCCCACAGTTGGTAACTTTCGCTTGTGGTGTCGCTCATACTGCTGCTGCTGCCAGCAATGGCAATGCCTCTTTTCGTCCAACCGTCGCCTTCGTCCCGCTTCACAGCATGTAGTGCTACATACCCTCGGATCAGCTTTGATCATAGCGGCGAGGACGACTAAACAAACAAGAAGAGCTGATGATTTCCCAATCCATGACGATTAATCTGATCCGTGTAGAGAAGGAAATGTCAAAGGCCACTGACACGGAAGTGGATATGAGGCGAATGGCGTAACCTTCACAGACCCAGTCAAAAGCAGACAGCCGAGGGGGGAAGATAGCAGATCCAAACATGAATGCGCAGCTCAGTATGCGTCACCAGCACGCTACATTCTACACGGCTCGGAACGGAATCCCGAAGTTCCATTGATGGTCCGGGACAGGTATGGGATTTTGAACAACCGCTATCAGTGTAGTGCCAGTCGCGATACGTTTATAGTCCTTCTCGCAGGGTTGAGCTGTTTACTTCAACGAGTCCTTCTCGCAGGGGTGATGAAAGAATTTGCACCAGGGTACACCATGGTGCAAGAATACTGTACAAGAAACAGTCGTTACCCACATGTAATGTAGATCACGGGCGCCAGCTCCTCGCAGGGTGTTCGCGATTGGAAGCAAATGCCACATTGGGTAATTACCTTCCGGGTAACCAACATCGAGCCCGCTGACGTACGCAGTCCGCCACGTGGCTCGATGGTACCCATCAGATTGACCGAATCCCTCCGTGGTACCTATCAACTCTCCACAGATTTCCCAACTGGTAACCAAACATTTCAACCGCAATGTACACCGTACGCATGACGTTCGAGTCAGCAAAAACATCACCATTTAGGCGAGAGTGAGTTTCCTTCTTACTAACCTTGCTTGAATGTTTAATTACTCCCTTATAATCCGAACATTAATTGCACATAAAGGACCCATAAAATTATGTTTACTTTAAGACATATTAACGTCATTTTCGGCTATCAAAAGTTACTACACTTGGAAGAAGGTACAGAGAAATCAGTTAAAATTATGATAATGCGGTATGTTTTATGCACGGATCGCTTTAGCATTGCCCTTCATCACTCCCTGATCTCGTTCTAAAATTGCTCATATTATTACCGGGACACTTTGGCCAAGTCAATTACATAGGTGTTGAGGCCATATTATGGGAGTGCAGCGTCTTCTGTAAACTAGCACCATTTTGTACATCATTTGTTTTAAACTTAACGGCATGGTTCTGGTATTCTCATTTTTATAGACAATGCAATAGTATGAGTCGGTGCGACAAAGAGACACAGCATGCACATTCTTTTTTCTTGTACTGTAAAATGTTTTAAACTGCACCACACTTAAACCTGGCGCGACAATATCTTCACTAAAACTACAATACATCATCTCATCACCCCAGCATGAGCGAAAAATGAGCATGTAGCACCCAGATGGAGTGACATGAAGCGTAAATCCCCATTGCATATATCGTACTCTCGTTCCATGTACCTGCCTACAAACGAACGGACAGGCAAACAACTACGAGCAGGTTTTGGCGTCCACACATTTCACTGTCTCTTTAGCTACTAGCATCACCACTACATTCACTACCCGTGTTCATTCACTAAGTAAATTCACTAATAAGAACACAGTCCACTCAAACATGCCGAGTTCAACAGTGGTGCTGCTCATGTTGTTCGCCCTGCTCTGCCGAGTTTGTGGTTGCAATACGTACACCAGCAGCACCTGTCGCATAGGTTTCACCATCCCCTTGCTGCTGTGTAGGGTAGATTGAGCTTCCGTACGAAGGCCATTGATGGATCATGTTTGAGTGCATAGGCACCATCCAAGGGTATTGCCAATACAACCCTTGTTGCTGTGCTGCAACCCCTCTATCCATTACATTTGTTGAATAATATGTGGCGCTCCTCGGGTGTGACATAGGAACGCGGATTTCCTGCCACTGTTGTCCCTCTTGCTGCTGCTCTGACTGCTGCAGCCAAATGTGCTGCTGCCCTGCGTTCTGCTGCCCTGTGTGCTGCTGCCCTGCGTTCTGCTGCCCTGTGTGCTGCTGCCCTGCGTTATGCTGCCCTGTGTGCTGCTGCCTTGCGTTCTGCTGCCCTGTGTGCTGCTGCCCTGCGTTCTGCTGCCCTGTGTGCTGCTGCCCTGCGTTCTGCTGCCCTGTGTGCTGCTGCCCTGCGTTCTGCTGCCCTGTGTGCTGCTGCCCTGCGTTATGCTGCCCTGTGTGCTGCTGCCTTGCGTTCTGCTGCCCTGTGTGCTGCTGCCCTGCGTTCTGCTGCCCTGTGTGCTGCTGCCCTGCGTTCTGCTGCCCTGTGTGCTGCTGCCCTGTGTTCTGCTGCCCTGTGTGCTGCTGCCCTGCGTTCTGCTGCCCTGAGTGCTGCTGCCCCACCTGCTGCTGCCCCAGCTGCTCTCTTGTCTGTTGCTGCCCTCTCGGTCGCTGTCCTCTTTGTTGCCGCGGTCTCTGTTGCACTCCTCCCAGTTGCTGACCTTCCTGATGCAGCCCTTCCTGCTGCCCTACCTGTCGAGTTCCTCGCCGCCGATTTCTATGTGATGGCCCTACATTCGTGTCTTGAGGTGAAGCTTCCCTTTCAGCTTCTTCCAAATCTGGTATTTGGCGTTGTAGACTAATGCGGGACACTTTCCTCAAACGGATCCGGACAATCTCTGCCGTATCTCTTGGGCCGACTGTGTTTGGCTGGTGCTGCTGCCGCTGTCCCAGCTGCTGCTCCGAGTGCTGCTGACGCTGTTGGGGCTGCTGCCGTCGCCCTTGTTGCTGCTGCCGCTGCTGCCTATCTCCCAGCGTCTGCTGCTCCCGTCCTTGCTGCTGCCCCTGCTGTTGCTGGTGCTGCTGTTCCTCCTGCCGCCCCTGCTGCCCCTGCTGGCCCTGCTGTTGCTGTTGCTGCTGTCCCTGCTGCTGCCGTCCCTGCTGCTGCCGTCCCCGCTGCTGCCGTCCCTGCTGCTGCTGCCCCAGCTGCTGCTGCCCCAGCTGCTGCTGCCCCTGCTGCTGCTGTCCCTGCTGCTGCTGTCCCTGCTGCTGCTGCCCCTGCTGTCCCTGCTGCTGCTGCCCCTGCTGCTCCTGCCCCTGCTGCTGCTGCCCCTGCTGTCCCTGCTGCTGCTGCCCCTGCTGCTCCTGCCCCTGCTGCTGCTGCTGCTGCTGTCCCTGCTGCTGCTGCCCCTGCTGCTGCTGCCCCTGCTGTCCCTGCTGCTGCTGCCCCTGCTGCTCCTGCCCCTGCTGCTGCTGCTGCTGCTGCTGTCCCTGCTGCTGCTGCCCCTGCTGCTGCTGGCGCTGCTGCTGCTGCCCCAGCTGCTGCTGCTGCTGCTGCCCCTGCTGCTGCTGTCCCTGCTGCTGCTGCCCCTGCTGTCCCTGCTGCTGCTGCCCCTGCTGCTCCTGCCCCTGCTGCTGCTGCCCCTGCTGTCCCTGCTGCTGCTGCCCCTGCTGCTCCTGCCCCTGCTGCTGCTGCTGCTGCTGTCCCTGCTGTTGCTGCCCCTGCTGCTGCTGTCCCTGCTGCTGCTGTCCCTGCTGCTGCTGCTGCTGCTGCTGCTGCTGCCCCTGCTGCTGCTGCCCCTGCTGCTGCTGCCCCTGCTGCTGCTGTCCCTGCTGCTGCTGCCCCTGCTGTCCCTGCTGCTGCTGCCCCTGCTGCTCCTGCCCCTGCTGCTGCTGTTGCTGCTGCCCCCCTCCCCGTTGCCGCTGCTGCCTCCCTCCATGTTGCTGCCGCCTCCCCCTCTGCGGCCGGTTTGACCGCCTCCCCCCTTGCCCTTGATGTTGTTCTCCCCCCCCTTCTGGTTCGGTTGCTTCCTCCCTCCCCATGGCTACATCTGCCTCCTCCCCATCCGACCCTTGCTGTTCATGGTTCTGCCGCCCTTGCCCCACTTCCACTTGCTCACCGTCAATTTCCTCGGACGCATCTGTCGAGTAGGAATAATCTGTTTCTTCATCGGTTAAATCTCCTACTTCTGTCCCCGCGCCCCCCTCACCACCACCTGGGCCTTTCCTAGCACGAGCTTCCGTCCTCCGTACAGCTTCACACCGAATACCTTCACGGTGGAGTGCCCCACAAGCGTCGCACTCTGCAACGCTCACTTCAGCCATAGCAATTGTAGATGTTTGCATCTCAACATGAGCTTGCGGTGTCTGTCTCTCTTCCCATGCCACTCTTTGACTAGCCCGCAGCTCACATGTACGTACGTTATGTCCTTTCTCCCCGCACTTGCCACACTTGCGCATTTTTTCACCATCCACCTCACCAGAGCTTCTAAGGCGTTTCGAAGGTGGACGTCCGGCCCTCTTAGGATACACAGGAGGTTGGATCGTCCTATCGCGAACCACCTCCGTAGGGTCGAGTGGCACGATAGGCGTACTGTACACCTTTTTAAGAGATTCCACTCTGTAGTAGCGTTTTATCACCCTATGAGCTTTCTCTGGCGTGCCACTGTAAACTGCAAAAATGTGGACACACGGAAGTCCATATTCCCTACACACAGGTGGGATGTAAAGGGGCACAAGAGGAAGCATTGGGGTGAAATGGTCATTTCATACATTGTATTCAACAGTATGCAACAAGGAGAGAAGCAACAGAAGCAGCAGGGGGAGTGGGGGCCCATGGACAGCATTAGCCCAGCCCAGGAACATCAGTAGCAGCACAGACAGCAAGGACAACCACAGCTGGAGCAGCAGTAGGGGGGGGGGGGGGGGGGGGGGACTTCGGGTGCATCAGCAGCAGAGGGAGTGGGGGAAGTAGGGAGTAGCAGAAGGTGCAGCTGAAGCAAGGTAAAGGAAAGAGCAGCAGCCGTAGA